AAAATGGCCGCGGACCACGTGTCAGGGGCGGAAAAATGGCCGCGGACCATGTGTCAGGGGCGGAAAAATGGCCGCGGACCATGTGTCAGGGGCGGAAAAATGGTCGCGGACCACGTGTCAGGGGTGGAAAAATGGCCATGGACCACATGTCACGGGTGGGAAAATGGCCACGTATCCTGTTCGTACCCCGAGGTGGAGTTCGCAAACAAAGGTAAATTTTTGCGGCCGGAGCTGGTCGTAACCCGAAAAGTTCGTTAACCGAGGCATTCATAACCCGAGGTACCACTGTATTGTTATCAAAATTTGGCAATGCAGCCATAGGAGGCTCTAGTTTTCATAGTTTGTGTGCTACATATGGCTTGTGAGTTACAGATTTTCCAGTTCTGCTCTATACTTGGAGTCCTCAATGACCTGTTTTTTTTTTTAATTTGTTTGTTTTGTTTTAACTATCTATACAGATAAATGCACTGTTATCTCTTCTAAATAAAGCAAAGTTTGCAAGGGAGAAGACATAACTAAAACAGAACATTGGATCAAATAATTTATGTGTGTATTCCAGGCCCATATCATGGTTATACTTAATATTTAAAATGTAATTTGGGTTATTTGTAATGCTTCACAGGAAATAATATCTAGTCTGAAAGAAGATGAAGGGGACTGGTCACCCATCATCCTTGAAGATACTCCTATTTGAACACTAAGCCATAAGCAAAGAAGTATGAACCCTAAAGCTCAGTTTTTCTAATACACTGATAAGATTCCTTGGGCACTGAAGCTTGATTTCTTATTGTATTCCAGGAAATATACTCTTGGATTATAAATGATAATAAAAACTTATTGTTAGCTAGAGTATAAGTGTCATCTGTCCTTTCTTCAAAATAACTATCTATCTCTATTTAAAATACTGTATACTGTATACTATAATGAAAGTGATCCTCCATATATTAAATGTTTATCGAAAGTTGAGTTTAAAGGTAAGAAGAAAAAAAGAAAAGTTCCTAGCAATAGTTACACCCTGATCACAGGATTCTGCACTTTGGGATTGCATTATATTTGTATTTTACCACTATCATGAAATGTATTATAATTATGTGAGGGTCAAATGAAAAGTAATGCTTCCAGTGTCCAAAGTTGCCAACACATGTTAGCAGCAATGCATTAGAAGCTTTGATGTGTTCTTTAGCATTTACATCAGATTTATTTATTCATTCATTCATTCATTCATTCATTCAATCAATCATTCATTTGTCAAATTTATATGGCTACCCATCTCACAAAAAGTGATTCCAGGCAGGCTACAACAAAACTATAAAATAGTTAATATATAAAAACTATTATTTAAAAAAATTAAAGATCACAAAGGCTAAGAGAAAACAACAGATATTAATAACAATGGAGCCACCTCAGTACCTCTCCGGTCCTCTGAAGTCCCCAGGCCTGATGGCATAACCAGGTTTTGAGGGACTTCTGGGAAATCAACAGGGATGAGGCAACCTTACTTCAGCGGCGAGGATGTTCCATAAGGTGGGTGCCGCAGCAGAGAAGGCCCACCTCCTGGGACCTGCCAAATGTAGCTCCCTAGCAGATGGGACATGCCTCTTCTGCTGGATCTGATGAGATGGGCAGATATAACTGGGGAGAGCCAGTCCCTCAAATAACCCATCCTGATGCCATGTAGGGCTTTAAGGGTCAAAACCAGACCTTGAATTGGAAACAAAATGGCAACCAATGCAGCTTTCAGAACAGAGGTATAACTTGTGCTGTTCTAGAGGTACACATAACTGCCCACACTGCTGCATTTTCCACCACCTGAAGTTTCTGGATACTGTTCAAGGGCATCCCTATGTAGAGTGCATTGCAGTAGCCCGATTGGGAGGTGACTAAGGCATGAGTGACCATGAGCAGAGCCCCCCAATCTAGGACCGAGCACAACTGGGGCACAATACAAAGTTGACGGGAAGTTACTGTGAAAAATTTTGTGTAGCTATTGTTCATGAAATGGAAGCCTGCAGTAAGTACTTGCCTGTCTTTAAGCAATATGCTGTGATAGAAGGAACCCATCCAATTGAAATTCCCTGCCAAATACAAGTTATTTATAGAGATGAATATGTTGATTTGAGTGTTGTGTATTACTAGGCCAAAAAAATATACAGATGGGAAGTCAGGAAGAGCTGATTTGAGTGATCAAGATTGAAGTGGATGACCTGTGACAGCAACTGACAAGTTTCACATGAGAAAGATTCATGAACTGATTAAGGACATATCAATCAAAGGGAAATTATTGTTAAACTTGACATTCACATGAACATGTGGGTCACATTATTGATGTTCTTCAATATCAGAAGGTTTGTGCAAGATGGGTTCTCATATGGTGTTGGCAGAGATGGCAGGTTCAGGAGTCGAAATTTGCCAGCAGTTGTATGCTCCTTCTAAAATGTGAGTGTGTGCACTCAGACACTACTTGTCAAAGCTGCACACACAGTAAAACATAAGTGCACACAATATTAAGTCCTTCTAAAATAATAATAATAAATTTAAGTGCCATAAATCTCTGGGCTAGTGAGGGGTCCTGCACAAGTTCGCTGCCTCAGAAAGCTTCAGCTTAATTGCAGCCATGAGGGTTGCTCGGTGCTGCCACAGCATGGTCTGAGTGTGTCAGCCTTCCCATATAGACCAGAAAGGAAACACAACCAGATGAGCTAATTCTACTTTATTGTAAGACTATATTAACAGAATCTTGCAAGTCTGAAAGTACAGTTCTCCTGCCATCTACTTTACATCCAAGAAATTAGGGAGGGTCTCTTCTGCGCATCTTGCTCCACCCACTGTGCAGCTGTGGGCTATGCTCCCTCTTATCAGACCATTTCCTAGGCAGCATCTCTTTGCCTGATTTCCCAAGGTCATTCCCACATATCATTCCAGAGTGGGAGTTCCTGAGGAGACACCTTTCATCCCGGACAGCAACCAGGCAGACCTTTTCCAACCTTGCAGCCAATCTGCTCCATGTTGGACCTAGCTAGAGACACATCAGTGTTTACCCTAGAGTAGGGTTTCCCAAACTGTGAGGTGTACCTCCCTTGGGGAGGTGCAGACAAAGTCCAGGGGAGGGGTGAAGAACCTTTTAGTTATATTGTTACCATAAATCCACTTTTCCCAAAGTTTCATTGTTGTGTTTTCATTGTTCATTTGTGTTTATTTTGATGCTTGAATTTTTAAGGGAAGTGTGTACGTTAAGATTACACTAAAGGGAGGTGTGATGGCAAAAAGTCTGGGAACTTCTGCCCGGGAGCCTCCTGTGCCTAAAGGAGCCATGCCACAGCTGAGAAGTGTCTCCTGACAGGCCCCCTTGGCCCATATCCCTCCTCCCACCAAAAAACATATGTTATCTGTTGAGTTTCAGGCACACTTCCATGATCATTGCTAACTATATAAAAAATTCAAATTTTAAATTAATAATAATTAAAGTTTAAATAAGTTCAGAATATATCCAGAAAAGAAGGAAAGAATGGGAACAAATAAAAGAGAGGGGGCTACCTAAACGCTTTTTATATAAAGTTTTTCTCTTTTATATATATTTTATTTTTATTTCATTATAATATCAAAAAAAAAGGAAGAATCCATTTTAAATACTTACAAAATATTGATTGCAATTATCAGTTACTAATGACTAGCAAGTTTATATTATAATCTGTAAGCATGTTGAGCAAGTTTAGTATCATGGTTTAAGGCATCAGGCTAGAATCCAGGACAATGTGAGTTCTAGTCCTGCCATAGGCACAAAACCAGCTGGATGACTTTGGGTTAGTTACAGTGGGTCAAAAAAGTATTTAGTCAGCCACCAATTGTGCAAGTTCTCCCACTTAAAA